TGGTTGAAAATTAGAATTGATTTGAGAATTGATTTGAGAATCAGAAACAAACAGGCCTTAGGTCTTTTTTCACGTACTTGCTACATTGTTATACACAATTTTCCGATACATTTGCATTTTTAAAAAATGCGCCCCAATCAGCAAGGGGCGACTTCCCTAGATTTAAGCCACCCCCACTCCCACAAACATGAAAAATAAATAATGATGATGATGATGATTTGATTTTTTATATATTAGCGTAGCTCAAAATATAATTTATGACCCTGCTCACTTATGTGGAGCCACTATATCCTTGGAGACTGTTTGACAGTCTTTATCTTATTAGATGTAGGCTCAAGCTTTGATCACGTAATCGGTCTACTTCATTTTGTGGTAATGTGACCCAAATTTCTTTTTTGATTTGGTGATTTATTGGATAAATGAAATTTAGGAAGTCTTAGTTTGATGGTCCTAATTGATAAGAATCAAATTTTATCAAGAATTAGAATTTTGACCGGGAAAAGGACGTTGAAATGGAAAAAAAGGCCTTGGATGTAAAGTTGCCGAAACTAGGCCCCAGGGCACCACTATCGCAGCGTTGGGGCGCCCATATTGAAGAATGGAAACAGGGGCTTGGTGTTAGGGCACCAGCTAGGGACACCGCAAAGCTAACCCTACTAATATGCGAATAGGCGATGGCACTGAGGTTCTGTGAAGGTGACACCGAGGTGCCATCGTGACGAAGTTTTTTTCGATTTTTCAAAATTTTATGTCTTCTTTTTCATTTAGAACTCCAAAATAGGCACCTATATATATTCACATGATTTTATCTCTACATTACATAAAACAACATATTGAGAGAGCTAGAGAGCTTCTATTTCAATTAATAGTACTCCTGAATAGTTGAGACACGACAGTATGTGTCATGCTTTTGCGGAGGTGGCTGACCTTGTTACAAATGATGAAGAGTGGACACGTGTCATACTGGACTAGATAAAATCGTAAGCTAAAGAGCTGATGTCAAAAAAGTCGTCAAGCGGAAAGCACTAACCTACTTGTAAAAAGTTGAAATTAAAGTTAACAATTAATTTTAATCATAAATTTTATGAGATTCAGATCTTCAATCATATATTTTATCAAATTTTATTAAAATCAACAGA